TCCTCGAGAATAAATATATCTGAGCCTAGTCCCATACGAGTGCTTGCGGTCCCCCTCACTTGGAATTTCCTGGACGACGTTTTCTTCCAGATTTTGCTTTTTTGAGACGCATTTAGGCTTGCTACACTTAAGGAACATCGGATCTCACGGGTGCGTACAGGTTTGCTTTACATTTTACAGCATTTAATTTTCCTACTTTTACCTGCTATTGCTCTTCCTGTATAGCATATTTTCCTGTTTCTACCTGTTGTTCTTCCTGTATAGCATATTTTCCTGTTTCTACCTGTTGTTCTTCCTGTATAGCATATTTTCCTGTTTCTACCTGTTGTTCTTCCTGTATAGCATATTTTCCTGTTTCTACCTACTGTTCTTCCTGTGAAGCATGTTACACTTGTCCTGTTTCTACCTGCTACTGTCTTTCATGTGTAGCCTGTTATACTGCTTCCCTAGCATGTTTTGTTCTTCTTTAAGCATGTTATATTGTCTTTTTCTCTTTACTATACAGTGCCCTCTTACTTTTCTTTCACACTGCATGCTTAGTTACTCTGATACACTATGCCTTAGTTTAGGATAACCTAGTGGTTAGGAGCATGTTCAAAACTAAAATTAAACCAGAAGGTGCTACTACGAGAGACTCAGAGCAAACATCGTGGGCAGCGCGGCAAGGGATAACTTCAAGATGAATCTGCAGCAGCAAAACACATTCACATCACCTAACACTTTCTTTAGTTTAAACAACCCATAGGATCACTCTTTAGGCTTTTTGTACAACTCTGTTGTACAATTATAAGTCCTAACGCTTTAGGATTCCGAGGTTACCGTTTGGTACGGTGTAAATCCTCCTGTCTTTTTAGGCTATTTGCACAGTCCGACTGAGCAAATATAAGTCCTAAATCTTAAATAATTTACAGGATTGAAATATCAAATAATCATCACTTCAAAGACATAAAGCCAAACAATAGGAGTGTTGGGAGGTCACTGGGGTTTTCCCTAGATCTGTGATATCCCCTACTTTTCTTTATTTGAATTCCTAAAATAATTGTTCCTATTTTGAGCCAATTTCATTTGA